GGATCAACGAAAATAGCTTTTTATGATTTATAACCTTTAGATAAGATCATCGGTTCATTTTTTTTAGAGATAAGCAACTGAAAGAAAATATAATTTAAATTTGGTACATTTTAAAGTTCTAAGCCAAACTTTTATTTTGCGAATTGTAGAAGTATGCTTCTAGATCAAATGTTATATGGAAATATTATATTTTACATCATTATCCTGTCTGCCAGCAACTGCTTAAAATTATTTTTTCTTTAGCATAAATCGAGCCATTTCGTTTCCTTCCAAACCTAAATCTATTTTAAATGATCACGTTTTCCATTTTCCCTCTACTAGTGTCATTAGAATGTCCGGCTCAATAAAAAAAGTCAAGCGAAGTCAACGCAAAAAGTTTTTATAAAAGAAAATTCTCATGACTTCTGGCAGTTTCTGGTGCGGTCAATTAGCCTGGACGTGATTTGCTACTGCGATCCCGCTGAGAGCGGCGTTTCAGGCATAATGATGCAAAAGGTCCCGACAAATGTCCTTGGCTGCATTCCACGTTGATTTTATAGTTTTTCGCTAATTAAGAACGTTTTTCGTATATCGTGGGACGTGTGAAAAGCGACAAGGCGCACGTACCAAAAAGGGAAAATTAAAAAATATAAAGAAAATCGTAAGAAGGGAGGGATCCCAAACGGGGATTGGATCATAAAATGATAGATACGCAGCTGGTTATGCTCGCTTAATAAATTTGCGGTCTTCCCGCCTCGAAAAAATGCCATGCGGCTGGGATGTGTTGAAGAAAATTCGAGCAAATTTTCACTGGGCTACCTGAGTGAGGACGCATTTTCCAGGTAGGATTTAAAACTAGTGTTCCAGGTAGAGAAAGAGAGAGAGCGAGGAAAACCCTCAAGCAATTGTGCAAGGACAAAGGAGTGCCAGACAGCCGGCGTTGACATTTGCCAGGCTCAGCTGCAGATCCTTAGGTCAGAAATTTTTACCAGAACCGTATAAAAATCGTGTGCTGCAGGGATCGGCAGCTAGAAGCATTTCAGGCACCGATCGTGATAGATCCTAGATCATAGATCCTTAAAAAATACATAAACAAAATATTTGAGCCAAAGTGTAACATAGTTATTTCTGCAACTAAGTCAAGGTTTGTCCTGTGAAGGACCTGATATCTAGATATAAACTACAACAAAATATTTGTTTGTATTTTGCAGAATTCGCGCAGAGTTCTTTAAACGATCTTGAAGCAAATACAATATGGGCGAACTCGAAGAGAAGGAAGCCCCACCCACTGAGACAACATCCGCTCAGCAAGAAGCTCTCGAGGAGCCCAAGGAAACGGACAAAATGTTGGATAAAAAAGAGGACTGCAAGGAGAAAACACCCAGTCCGCAGACCTCAAAGCCCGCATCTCCCAATGTGGGCAAGAAATCGTCACCTCTGGCAGACAAGAAAATCGTGGATGACGAACTTGAGAAGCCCAAACCAGGAAATGGAGAAGAAATTATTGACATTCCCGCCGAAAATGGCACAAAGCCCGAGGGCGGTGACGAAAAGAAGATCAGCAAGGAGGAACGAGAGGTAAAACCCAAGAAGATCCCGATCGGAGGTCTTAAGCTGCCCGGTTTCTTCATGAAGAACAAACCCAAGGCGGAGGGCGATGGTGCAGAAGGGGAGCTGCTCGAGAAGGAGGAGGATAAGGATAAGGAAGCCAACGGCGATGCCGCCACAGTGTCCGGCAAGGATGAGCAGAAATCTCGTCCAGGACTGGGAGAGCGCTTGCGCAGTTTCTTTGCCCGCAAACCATCCGCCGAGAAGGAAAAGAAACAGCTGGTCAACGTAGATGCTGATGCCAAGTCTGGTGAGTACCCTTTTTTCTCATTATTAGGGGTGAAAAAATAGTACAAGTGATTCTATATTATGCCTAAAACAACAAAATTAAAGTTAAAGGATACAGATAAATTGTTTGTACTATTATTCTATCCTCAAAAGATTGTAACCCATTGATCAAACTAAAACTAACTCGTATCTAAATTTTCAGAAGCCACAGCTGAAGCTACCCCCGCTGATGATGCATCCGATCCACCTCCAAAAAGAGGGCTTTTAAACGCCATTAAACTGCCGATCGCCAACATGATACCGAAAAAGAAGAGCAGCGACGATGTTGAACTGGGTTTGGGCAAAGCCGGTCTGGCCTCTATGGAGACCCTTGATGACTCCCTCAAGGATCAGGACACCGTCGATCGGGCTCCCGTTAAGACCAACGGCACCGATGAGCTTAAGGGAGAACTCAAGGACGAGAAGCTGGCGGCTGAGGAAAAACTGGCCGCCGAGGAGGAGGAGCAGAATCGACCCGTCTCCCTGTTAACTCGCCTGCGTGGCTACAAGTGCAGTGTGGACGATGCCCTCATTGTGTTTGGCATCCTGCTGTTTGTTCTCCTGTTGGCAGTGATTGGTTATGTGTTGACCCACGAGACTTTGACTTCTCCGCCTCTGCGCGAAGGGCGCTATATTATGGCAGTGACAGGCTGCGGACCTGTGGAGGGTGTAAAGGAAGATGGAGCCTTCGCCTTCCGTGGTATTCCATATGCAAAGCCACCTGTGGACAAGCTGAGATGGAAACCGGCTGAATTGATTGACGACATCAATATGTGCTGGAATGATACCCTGCAAACGCACAACAGTAGTGTCGTATGCACGCAGAGATTGGGTAATGGCACCACCGTGGGAGACGAAGACTGCCTCTACTTGGATGTGGTCACTCCCCATGTGCGATACAACAATCCCCTGCCTGTGGTGGTGTTGATTGGAGCCGAATCTCTGGCTGGACCATCGCCTGGTATACTCCGTCCATCGGCTCGCTACTCTCGATCCCACGATGTAATTTTTGTACGCCCCAATTTCCGTTTGGGTCTCTTCGGCTTCCTCGCGCTGGATGCTTTGACCAAAGAGGCACATCCGCCCACATCTGGCAACTATGCGCTCACCGATATTATAGCTGTGCTCAAATGGATCAAGCTGAACATTGCATACTTTGGTGGAGATCCGAAATCTGTCACGTTGCTGGGTCATCGGGCCGGAGCCACTCTGGTTACCCTCTTGGTTAACTCTCAAAAGGTCAAGGGTCTCTATACCAGGGCTTGGGCTTCATCCGGATCAGCCATTCTGCCTGGAAAACCCTTGAGCGAATCCAGCAAACTTAACGAGCAGCTGATGGCCACTCTAGAGTGTTCGGATGTGGAGTGCCTGCGCGAGGCATCCAGCGAGCGATTGTGGGCCGCCACTCCCGATACCTGGTTGCACTTCCCAGTGGATCTGCCCCAACCCCAGGAAGCCAATGCCAGCGGCAGCCGTCACGAGTGGTTGGTTCTGGATGGAGATGTGGTCTTTGAACATCCTTCTGATACCTGGAAACGCGGACAGGCCGAGTACAAGCCACTGCTGGTTATAGGAGCCAGTGCCCATGAGGCGCACACCGAGAAGCTGCGTGAGTTGCACACGAACTGGACTCGCGAGGAGGTGCGAGCTTATCTGGAAAACTCACAGATTGGAGCTTTGGGCCTGACCGAGGAGGTTATCGAGCAGTACAACGCCAGCAGCTACTCGTCACTAGTTTCCATTATCTCAGACATACGCAGCGTTTGCCCGCTGCTGACAAATGCGAGACAGCAGCCGACTGTGCCGTTCTATGTCGTCACCCAGGGCGAGGGACCGGATCAGCTGGCCACTGTGGACGCCGATGTGCAGGCCATCCTGGGTCGCTATGAGCCGCACACCGTAGAGCAGCGCCGTTTCGTTTCGGCCATGCAGCAGCTATTCTACTACTATGTGTCCCATGGAACGGTGCAGTCGTTCGTTCACAACCGTCGGGTTATTAATGTGGGCCAGGATGCGCTACCGCAGGAGGACTACTCCCCCTGCAACTACTGGATCAGTAAGGATATAGTGCCGCGGTATGCGCGCGTCGATTAAGGGAACCAAAATCCCAAAAGCTAATCTTTCTCACCTGTCTTTATGCGCCTAGGGACCGTTTAATCTCATTCAGCTTTGTTGCTACTTTCATTTTTATCAAATTTAAAGCTTATCTAATTTCAAATCTAAGCAAAGAGTAATATGTTTGAACTCTTGAACATAAATACTATAACATCAGATTTCTTTAAATTTAATAAGAATCGAATGTGGTATCAAAGCTTCGTTTTTCCCGACTTCGTTTCGAGTTTAGTTTAGCCTAAGTGAATCTAGTGTTTAGATATATATATATAATGGTATGTCTATCGGATTACTGTATATTTAGTTCTCGTACAGTTTAAGTTTAAAGTCTTTTAAGTAACTTTGACTCCATACGATTCTCCATACGAATACGTATTCTCTAATCTTAACATTAACAAACACACAGACACAAACAGCAAAAACACAAATAAAACATCACAAAATATACAAAATTATACTTGAAAAGTATAGATCTGCGTTTTTCAACTATTCAACACACTAATCTATACACTATACTATAACCCATATACAAATATATAGGAGTAAATGCCACAGAGGTTTTTGATTTACCAAAAAACATAAAAACCGCAAATCGACCAACGACTAAACTTTTTTGATACAATTTTACAAAACTCAAGACTCAAGAGAAGCAAACCGAATTCATTTAGATTTAGTTGGGTTTGCCAACGCTGGACAGGATTGGCCAAAATCCCAGCTAGCATAGGCCGCTCAAAGCTCGTTGCAAGTTTAAGATCGAAGGACTTTTCCAAACGTTGAAAATGTTGCAAACATTTCGAGACTGTCAGGAATGAATTTAGAAAACTATTTAATCATTCGTTCATTTCCACAATTCACTTAGGAGTATTTATAATTACGCATATATATAAATCGGATATTGTATGGATAACACATTTTTGTATAGCTTTATATGTATATTACTAATCGAACCAACATTTTCTATTGTTTTATACAAGACGTATTCACAACAGACTAAGAGCATTCAAAAATTGAAATCAAGAATCAAAAACAGAACATGGAGTACACAATATAGATTTATGTTTCGGAGTAATCATGTACGAACCGTAAGGTTGACAAATGTTTAATAAACGGAAATGAAAAAATTAAACTAAGAACTAAGATTAAAAGTTCGTCCATTTTTAGCAATCACTTATTTCACAGAAATCAGCAATAATAAACCTTCTTTGGGTATTTTCATGGAAAACGAATACACATGCAAACATATCTCATCGCTTGGAACTGTTAACCTTGTAGACGCGACATTTATTGTCGGTAAGGGCGGCCAGATAGGATCCGGCCTGGGTGGCCACCGGGCATATGTCGTAGATCACTTCGTTGACGGGCATCGTTTGCACCCGCTCCTCACGCCGCACATCGTGCATCATCAGCTGTTTGCTGTCCTGCAGATAGCCGACAACCAGGGTATTATCCTCGACACCCAGTTGGGTGGGTCGCGTCATTATCGGCGTGGCCTTTGAGCCGTAGATGGTGGCCTTAACCTTAAGCACCGGCGTATTGTCGATCTTGTCCAACCGTCCAAGTATAAAGCGGGACTGGGGTGAATTTGGATTGGATCGGGCCGATATCAGGAGCGTGTCCTGCACGGAATCGTACTGCATGGATAAAAAGGGTCCGTCCACATTAAGCCGAGTGGGCACTGCCGTATCACTGGCCGATGCGTACTCGTAGAAGGTGAGGGCCGTAAGCTGACAGACTAGGAAACCGCCGCTGATAAAAGTTTTGTTTGGTGGCACTGGTACTATGTGTATCACAGGGCTGAAGTTCTCTGGAGGGGGTATATTTTTTGTTTAAAAAGATAGTTACATGTTGGCAGAATCTTGGCACTCACCTTCGGCTTGGAATTCGCAGAGTATGGTCTCTGGAAACCGCAAGTCATAGATATAGACACCTCCTCGAAGGTCTCCGCCATAGAGGAAGTGCTCCCTCTCGTTGCGATCCAGGGCGCAGGACCAAAGCATTTTGTCGTGCGCCGTAAACATGGATGAGCAAAGTCGCGTCCTTATGTCGAAGATCTTGATTTTTGGCTCCCGACTGGCCACTGTAAGCAGGTGCTGGGACTCGCTGAAAGCTACGTCTCTGATTAACAGGGCCGAGGTGTGGAGGAAGTGCAGGGGCTTGAAGCTAGGCGGATCGATGAAACGAACTCCATAGCCGGGGAACAAGTTCTGCGCGCTCTTCTGCGAGGCCACCAGCATGGAGTGCTTGGCAGAATAGAGCAGAACCCTACATCCAGGCTCTCTGGTGATCTCGAAGTTCTTCTCCATATACAAACGATGAGTGGGCAGCATGTGAATGCTCTTCTGACCCCCACTGCCAGCTCCATCGCCGCCAAAGGCTCCTCGACCACCGCCAGCCCTGACCAGCTCCTTTAATCGTTCGTAATCCTTCTGCATGAGCATCAGCTTCTCAGAGGTTAGAGTGTGGGCTAGCTTTGCGGTGGCCAGCTCTGTGGTTAGGGTCTGGGTACGCCGGCGCTCCGCCTCCAGTTGCTCCCTTATATCCGTATCCAGCATCTGGATACGCTTGGCGTACAAATGGCGAATGTCCTTAAATGCAGCCTTTGTTTTGCACTGGGGACACACCTTTACAGATGATTGCCGTTGGCTCTCGTTCAACCAGCGACGGATGCAGGATTCTCCGAAGAGGTGACCGCAGCGCAACGACACCAATCGATGTTCGCCACTCATCTCCCAGGAATCTAGACAAATGGGACAGGTTAGGCCATCGTCCTCGTCATCCACAATTGTGGCTTTAGTCTCAGGCGATTTTTTTAGACTTTTATCGGCGATGGAGAGGCGTTTGCGTTTTTTGGGTGGCGACGGTGTGTCCAGCGATATCACAGCGGGTTCATCTGCTTGGGATCGCCGGGAAGTACTGGGCGGACTAGGCAAAGGCGGATGATCTATCAGGACTACTGCAGGAAGAACTTCAGGTTCATCCACGTCAACTCTGGGCTGCGGTTGGGCTGCCAGTTGAGGCAAAGGTTCCTGATTGAGACCAGGCTCCCGGTTCTCATCATGTTGATCCTGGGATGCTTGATCAGGTTGTTGCTGGTGTTGTTCCTGATTCCCAATAGCCTGCTGCTGAGGTTCCTGCACTATATAATTTCTAGGAACTAAAGCCTGGAAGACCCTTCTTATAGATCGTCTATCCTGCTGTTCCCCAATTAATTCAAAATTCTCCACAGGCTCCGCAATTTCCTCTTCTTCCTCCGCGGAGGCATAATCTTCATTGGCATCCTCCATTTCCTGCAGCGCCAAATTCGGATGAAAATCGGGATTCGGCAGCCTGTTTTGATTTCGCGCAACGGGCTGATCGACTTCCCCGCTGTCCGATGAGTCAATTTCCGAATCCAAGACGCCCTCGATTTCTGCGTCTCCGTCGCTCTCCGAATCACTTATATATTAAAGGATTAAAATATTACTCGTGAAAAGCATAATGATTCCAGGGGGTTTTTGCTAGTTTTTTATCACTTTTTACAAAGACGCTAAATTTCAATCTTTTTAGAGATGGACAAGATTGAGCGATGTTGTTTGTTAGGGTCGTCAGTGATGACAAAAACTGAGCAACTAAGCTATCAAGTTCTATTCAATACAAAACCAAATTTTAATACAATAATAAGTATTTAATAAATATTTAATTTAGAGATTTCTATACCTTTTTGTGTTTTCTAATGTTACCAAATGATTTGGCGCGAAACAATTGATATAGAGTAGCCCTTGCACCTTTTAGTCGTAGAATCGTTTAATAATTAAGCCTTTCAACATTATTAGAAAAGTTTGATATGTTTATGAAACATTTTGTTTTCTGTTTAATTTATTTGAAGTTACTATAAATATCGATTACGAAGAAAGCTAAGCGATAGCTTTCAGGCGTTGTTGGGCCAACCTGAAACGGTCACTCTAAATCGCCTTGACGCCTCAGCCGCCATTCGTTAGAAGAGTGAAATCCTTAAAAAAGAACGCATTAAGCCGAGATAATAGCCATCCAAAAAGTTGAATAAAATCCACAAATCCTCCATAGTGAATTGAAGGCATTCTACAAAACTCTGGGTAAAGGTTTAAAAAAAACCATATCAACCGGCATTTCTCATAGCGTCAAGAAATTGCATCAGTGTGTGGGTGTCCCAAAAAAGCCAAGCCAGGAAGCTAAATTTCTCGAGTTAATAACTCTCGAGAGGTGCTAATAAAAAAGAGGACGGGAAGTTTGCGGTAAGCTAGAGAGTAGAGGTGAAATTAGCAACGCAATTTGCTGGCTGACTAACCCGCCCCCCGTGGCCTTGAACTCGATAGACTTGGCTGCCGTCCACTCACCCACATACATATACACACACGCGCAAAAGCCGCTTCTACTAACTGAAGAGAAGAAAGGGGAAGATCGTACACCGCATAACGCAGAAAGCTATAGGTGAAGAAACATGGCCGAGCCAAGGACGCCCGAGAAGCTGCTGACCGCCAAGCCGCCGGTGTTCCACCACAATAGCCATAGCCCCAATGCCTCCCTGCAGCTGCCCAGTCCAATCATCACGCGGCGCACACGCACGGCCTCGACGTAAGTCCTTCTGCCACCCACCCACTTGCCACCCATCCACCTACTCGCACCTTGGCCCCTAAAACAACTTTGGCCCTTTTCCAGAGGCATTACAGGGGCCACGAAAATACAGTATATTTCACAGATATTACCTATTTAGTCATCTGAAAACCAGAGCTTTCAAAGAGTAATCACGCACTTACGGAAAAACTTTTAGGAATAAAAGAAATAACAAATTACATTTGATTTTATAAAAATGTTTTTCGTGCATAACGTGTAGTTTTTTTGAAAATATAAAGCACTGTAAAAAAGCCAAAATTAAAAAAATAAGACTATTTAAAAATCAAGTACACTCAGGGATACGTCGTTAGCCAAATGATAAGCTCTTGGATTTCCTTTTGAGCATATTAACCCGTACTTAATTTCTGCCTTCGCCCCTGTGCCTTCATCTGCCATTGATTTAATTGTTTCTCCCTGCTTTTTCTTGTCCCTTCATTTCAAACGCTGCCAAAACACAAACCCGCGCAAACGCAAAAAAAAATTCTAAAAAAAACGCAGCTCCGCTCGGGCCCTGGAAAATCCGGTTGTGACCGGCATTGTGAAATCCTTCAGCCGCACCAAAGGACACGGCTTCATTACACCCCATGCCGGCGGAGAGGATGTTTTCTGCCATGTTTCTGAGTAAGTGGATGAATAATGCATGCGACCTTTGAGCCGCCTCTTTAAAACATACAAAAATTTAATCGCCCCACAGCATCGAAGGTGAATATGTGCCCATGCCCGGGGACGAGGTCAAATACCGTCTGTGCGCCATTCCGCCCAAGTACGAGAAACACCAAGCCGTGCACGTGCAGATTAGCAACCTGACGCCCGAGGTGCACCACAAGTGGGAGGAGCCATTCTTCGGGGGCTCCTCGCCCGCCAAGTAAAGCTAACAGGAGCGGAAAAGTGAACAGTTAAAAGCTGAACGGCCTTCCAAGAAATTTAATTGAGCTGAAGCACGCCACCCGAGATGAGCGAAACGGAAAACCCGAACAGAACAATAGAAATGAAAGTAAATGAAAGCATAGCAAACAAAGCAGCGAAGAAAAAGCCCAAACCAGACCAGAACAGAATAGAATACAATAACAGGCCTGCCATCCAGCCAGCCAGCGAGCAGCATCAACAGAGTTTCAATTGAACACTTAATTAGAATTTAAGCTAAGCTATGAAAGTCAAACAGAACACAGTCACAAATATTGCCTATTCCTCTGCAAGAGGGGAGAGCAAACGAAACCAGTTTCGAGTATATTATTGAAAACGTATGTATTTGGAAATTTAAATTGTTATTCGAGAAGCCAGCAGTGCTGTGCCCGGTGCTGTGGAGCCTGTATCAGTAATTATTTTTAATTATAATGAAACATCTGAATGTGTTCGCCAAGCAAGCAAGCAAAATGCTCTCAGTAATTCACTTTATTATTAAAACAAAAGCTGCAAAACAATTGTGCCGGTGATTTTAATGGAGGGGGAGATAAATATTATCTACATGGTGATGTGTGTACTTATGTATTTACAATAGAGGTCAGATTAATAGTGAGTTATTTTTTAAAACTTCACATTTAATTAAGTAATTGACCAATAATACATCGAAATGAATTGCACAATCTGAAGCTGTGATTCTTTTGCGGTTTGGAAGTATTCAAGTTTACTTACTTTATTCCTTAAATAACAATTTAAAAACAAGAGAGAACGCTATAGTCGGGTGCCCCGACTATCAGATACCCGTTACTCAGGTAAAGGGAGTGCGAGGGAGATGGAGATAGAAACTTTGATCACGCATAACTTTTTAACGAATGGTCCGATTTGAAAAATTTCTTCTACATTTCGATAGGTATTGATAAACACAATAAAACTGCATTTTTACTTTTCCGAAATATTTAAATTTTTAAAATCGTATATAAGCGATTGTGGGCGTTAAAGGGGGCGTGGCACCTTTTTGAAACAAACTTGCGCTGCGTAGGAACTAATAGAATCTGCATGCAAAATGCCAATCTTCTAGCTTTTATAGTTTCCGAGATCTCAGCGTTCATACGGACAGACAGACGGACAGACGGACATGGCTATATCAACTCGGCTAGTGACCCTGATCAAGAATATATATACTTTATAGGGTCGGAAACGCTTCCTTCTAGCTGTTACATACTTTTGCACGAATACAATATACCCTTTTACTCTACGAGTAACGGGTATAACTATTGGAAATGGTGGCCATATGTTGAAACACAATTTTTAAACGATTGGCATTCACAGCTTAAAAATTCTATATTAGTCGAATTTTCGCAAAAAAATCATTTAAAAAAATGTCAAAATCTGAAATACCCGGAAAAAATCAACATTTACGGTTTTTTATCAAAACCATGGAAATAATGGTCGAATATTGGGATGTCATACCTCGTATAATTCTTTATAAAAGAATGTTTATACTCAATATTGACGTAACAAGCATCTGAACAAAATTATATTACACTCTGCAAGGGTATAAAAAGAGACGACCGTTTTAAGGTTCGTAAATCTCCCGCCGACAATTTAAAATTTCGGAAATTAGTGTGACCATTGCTCTGGCTTTTATAGCAAGTGCATGTGTAGTTGCCATAAAACATATTGGAACGTCAACAAACATATGCCACGAAAGAAAATATTCCGATTTGACGAAATATGAAAATATTTAAAAAGTGCTGGCAGAGATTTTAAACCCTTTTGACCAGATATAGAGAAAAAATACAGGCAACAACAGGAAAGTCTCTGAAATATTCAAAATAGCTTAACACTTGAGTGACGTGGACCTGGGACATTTGTTGTTATTCGTTGTTGATTAGAAGAACAGGTGAGCCGGTGGCCTCCATATACATAGTATATACATACAACACTTAGCTCTTTGTCGATTCGCAGCATGTCCGCTATAAGGAGGAAGGCAACGGGCAGCAATGCCGACCAGGAGTTCCTCATCGATGAGCACCCCAAGGATGAAAAGGAGAGGGAGCACCAGAAACCAGATATTCGTGGGGATCGGCGGAATATAGCTATACTGCTGTTTCTGTATGTGCTACAGGGAATACCTATTGGCCTTATAGCAGCCATTCCCATGCTGCTGCAGAACCGAGGAGCCAGCTACAGGCAGCAGGCGGAGTTCTCATTTGCCTACTGGCCGTTTAGCCTAAAGCTACTGTGGGCCCCCATTGTGGATTCTCTGTATGTCCGGCGGTTTGGGCGCCGGAAATCCTGGCTAGTGCCGGTGCAGTATCTCCTGGGCGCCTTCATGCTGCTCTTGTCCCTCCACGTTGACCAGTGGCTGGGCGGGAACGGTGTTGATCCGAATGTACCTCTGCTGACACTGCTTTTCTTCCTCCTCAACTTCCTGGCCGCCACCCAGGACATCGCCGTGGATGGCTGGGCCTTGACCATGCTGAAACGATGCAATGTCGGCTATGCCTCCACTTGCAATAGTGTGGGACAAACCGCTGGCTATTTCCTTGGCTATGTGGTGTTCATCGCCCTGGAGTCGAAAGATTTCTGCAACACCTATCTGAGGGATTTGCCGCTAGAGGAGGGCATGATTACGCTGCCCCGCTTCCTTTGGTTCTGGGGCATCACTTTTGTGGTAGCCACCACTCTGGTGGCCATTTTTAAGAAGGAAAACGATATTGAAGACGCACATATGGACGCACGCTACACGGAGGAGCACGAGCTGAACATCCACGAGAGCTACAAGATCCTGTGGGACATGGTTCGCATGCGTCCGGTGCAGATCCTGGCTGTAATCTTGCTCACTGTAAAAGTAACCTTTGCCGCTTCGGATGCAGTGACCAGCTTGAAGTTAATTGACGCAGGTGTGCCCAAGGATAAGCTGGCTTTGCTGGCCATACCCCTCATTCCGCTGCAGCTCATCCTTCCGCTGGCGGTGGGTCGCTATACGAACGGACCACGTCCCATGGACGTTTATTTGAAAGCCATTCCCTACCGCATAATCATGGCCACAGTGGCCACTGGAATAGCCTACGTCACTCCGTATATCATCCGAGGAGGCGAGGTGCCTGTTTATTACTATGTCTTGCTTGTCTCCAGCTATGCCATCTACCAAGTATTCCTTTACTCCATGTTCGTGGCCGCCATGGCCTTCTTCGCCAAGATCTCCGACCCCGCGGTTGGTGGCACCTACATGACATTCCTCAACACGCTGTGCAATCTGGGCGGTAACTGGCCCAACACCGTGGTGTTGTGGCTGGTGGACGTGCTTACTTGGAAGCAGTGCTCCAATAATGCCAGCAACACCTGCCAGGGCAAGGAAGAGCAACAGGTAAGTGGTGCTAACATTTTCGTAGATGCTGATTGACAAAAAATCCTTTTAATTTTCAGAGCTGTGAAGGGTCGTACGGCAAGTGCGAGATTACCTATGACGGCTACTACTTGGAGTCCGGCATCTGTGTATTGTACGGCATTGTGTGGCTGCTCCTGGTGCGGAAGTGGATCGTCTATCTGCAGGACCTGCCCGTGCGATCCTGGCTGGTGGTCAAGCAGAAGGCGCGGTAGCAATCAATAGTGTGATCCGGGGCCAGATTCCCATTCAGATCTAGCACCGACCAGTAGGTACAAGCAACTAATTCTAGGAATAGGAGACGTTTGCATTCTGTAGGCTAGAGCAATTGAAAATTCCCGCCTTTGTATTGTTTTTCTATAATTCAAATTAATTCCACAGGAAATAAAATCAAATGTTGAATTGAGCGAACGGGTATGATGTTGGTTTATTCGCTCGACTGCGCGCAATCATCGGTGTTTAAAGGGTACAAATTGTCTTAACTAAGTTGTGTTTAAAAAGTCAGCAATTTAGTAGTACTTCCAGGAGTCTACTGATTCCTGGTTCTGCTTCTGCTTGCTCTTGCGCTCAATCAAACCGGCCAAATGTTCCGACCGCATGGACAGCGAGTCGATCTTCTCCACCAGCTGCTGGTAGGGACTCAATGGCTGGGTGCCCATCACAACATGTCCCAATTTCGAATCGATCTTGGCATTCAGCCGGGCATTGCGGATGAGGTTGACGATCCAGCACTCGGCCTCATTGGGCTTCATGTTCAGCTTGTCAGCCAGCATGCTAATGGTGATGCACTGATGAATACGGCAGAACGTCTCAAAGATCATCAGACGAGCATCCTCCACGAACTCATTGAGGCAGGCCACGATGAAGAAGTCATTTAGGATCACGGTCTGGCATTCATGCAGCTTCAGACGTGCTCCCTCGAAGTCAAAGTTCACATACAGACACTCAAGGAACTCGGTGATGGGATCGCGGTAGGTGTACGATTCCTGCTGGATCACCTTAATCAAATCCTTCAGGGCATTGCGACGAGTGCGGTTGATCACCACGGCGGTGGCCAGATAACGCATGATGTGCGGGCACATAGTCTGGATGGCGTTCAGATACAGTGGCTTGTACAGGAACATCTCAATGATGAGGTCACGTCCCTTGGGGTGGTTGAAGAACACCAGCACCGACCAGTGGATCAGCCAGGTGCGCTGCTGCAGGGCCTGAATGGTGCTGAAGTTCGCGCTGTCGATGTAGTCGCGCAGGCGCGTCAAATCTTCCAGAGCAGTGTTCCAGTTGAGGGTCAGGATCTCGGCGGCCAGCTTTCCCCACAGCACATTCAGGTAGTTCTGTAAGTTCGGAGGATATGAAGTGGGTTATACATTTTGTAAAGGAAACTTTTAGCGGGGGGACTGTTTTTAAACATTCACGAAGAAATACAATTGAGGAAGCTTTTAGAAAACATAAAAAATGTAAAAGACTTAATTAGCAACTATTAAATAATTTGCTTATTAAGCCCTTACGCAATATAAAGATAGCAAATATATCTGCATCATAATAGTTGGGAGACATTCATAGATTAATCATCTTATATAAATGATTAATGATAATTGTTTCGGTCAAATTGGATATCTACACACCTTATTCTTAGGCAAAATGACAAATAAGCAGATTTATGGGTTAGAATGTCGTAGAGATTATTACGAATGAGGACTTATTAAGAAGTACTTCTAATATTTCTGCACCAATATTTTAGAATTTCAAAGGTTCAGCTTCAATAATAAAACTTATGGATACCCTTGACTACCCAAAGAGCTCCATACACACCTTGTCGTTGGGCGACATGACGATTAGACAGAAGTACAGGTACGAGGTGGACTCCTGGTAGTTGCCACACTCGTAGAGGTACTTGGCTAGCTTGTATGCGCTCTCCAGGTGCTCCACCTTGAAGTTGTAGTCCTTCTGCAGGGCGCTGACAAAGGTCTTTGAGTCCTTCATGCTCTCGCCGTTCTTGAGGATGTCGGTGGCCTTCATAATGGGTGCCACCTCGTTCTGCAGTTGCTTGAGCGTGGCCAGGACCTCCGCCTTGCGCTGCACCAGTTCCTCGGGCATCTCCTGGCTGAGATTGAGACGCTTGCGGGTGTCCATCGTGTAATCGATCATGTTCGTCTTGTTGACCGTTTCCAGGATGTACTCGAGCAGCTCCTGCTGGTTGTAGATCTGCAACGGAAGTCACATATATGTAGATTACCCAGATTTGATTGCTGGTGACACGGCAAGCCGCTGGCGGAGCACCGCCTGGTTAATTTTCTAACCTCCTTGCCGCACAAGAACTCCAGCAGAGGGAAGGTCAAATGCCTGTCCAGATATTGGCAATTGATGCGTGTCAGGTCGAAATTGGCCATGATTGCTGCTGTTTTATTATGTTTTCACAATGAAATTTACACGCAAAATCGGCAGAAAAATACGCGTGCGAAAGGCAAACAGTGTGCCCAGGGGCGAAAAGAATGACGCCCGTTTAGTGTTACCAAGGGCTGAAAGTGCGCTTACTCCAAAAAATACAATTAAATAAAATATGGTATTTTTTAAGTTTAAATAATGGCGCGATTATTTAAAAAAATCATTAGTTAATTATTAACGGAATTATTTATGTACACTCAATATTATAAATATTTGTAATAAATATATTTAATCAGAACACCGAATTAAATGTTATCATCAATTTTTTACCTGTGCATTTTAATAATTTTTGTTTCCAAATGCAAGACTTTTGAAGTGCGTGAAGTAATTGGAGTTTATCCTTAAAATGTAACTACTTTTTCTTAAATACCAATACTGCCGATTAATTGAATAAAAATTGAGCCATTTCTAATTTTTCTCTCTGGGTTTTTCTCCGCAAATTATGTAAATATCACATTGGTTAATTTTTAATTGAATAATCATTTAGCTTGAATTGGTAGTTTATCACATTTCTATTTATTAATCAACACCAAAATATTATTTTAGCAAAACATCCCAAATTTAAATCAACCAGCAACTGCCTTGTAATAGTTTGAATATTTATTTCATTAAATGCTTGCACATAAATATATTCATATAGAGATGTATGTATAAGGGTATACAGTTGGGTTAAATATTTTTGTATAAATAGTGTATTTTTCTTGTATTCATACACATAACTGCCAAAGAGCACATTTTGTTTTAACAATAGCCACTTAGGTACTTTTGCGGTTAACGGTCGAATGCAGTTCAAAACACACAAACAACATCTAAAAAAATGCGTTTCGATATTGGCCGAGTTTAATACATTTCTCTGTTTGTATATACGATTTATGGGTAGATTGTATATAGGAGGGTGGAGATCAGCATATCAATTTTCATTTCATATAATTTTTTTGCATAGAACAGGCAACGAAAGTCGAACAACATTGAAAAAAATGCAATTTCTAAATATTTTATGTTCAATTAATTCTTTGTTTAACGATAACGGTAAATTTCTAGTTATTGTCCTTAGATCTTTTTTGTTGGATATTCGATTTCCTTTAAGATATATAAGTATTCGATTGGCCTCAATCAACATTTGTTTTGCACTCTTAATTGACTCCTGCCGCAGCATCATCACCTATGGAGGGCATCTCGACGAACCACAAACAATTCCCAGCCAGCTTTGCGATAAAAATAAAACTAAATGAAACGTGTTTCGTTTTGGTTTTGGTTTGGTGTGTAAAAAACTCAAGTCTTTTTTAGTGTAAACTAAACTAAAATCGCGAAAATAAAAATCACAAATCGGTAAAGAATTTCGCTCTAGGCTAAGGACGATGCACGCACACAAAATTTCGCATAAGCTGCTCTGGCTGCCGCTGTTGATCCTGCTTAGGATGTCCCGATGACGCCACCAGGTCCTGGCAGCCCGCTGGGACGGCCAGTCAGATAAGAATCCACCTGGCGGGCGGCCTGACGACCCTCGGTGATGGCCCAGACGACCAGCGACTGTCCACGCCGGCAATCTGAAAAGGCAAAGCAAATTTAAATTGTTAAAATACAATTAGTTTAAGGTTCATTAATTCAAAATCGATTTAACATGCTAGAAAATATATTCAAATGAATACCTCTCGTGTTAAGTTCAGATGATGAAGGGTCAGATTATATTTCGAAAAACTTACCGCCCGCCGCAAAGACCTTGGAGTTGGAGGTGCCATACTGTCCGTTGGAGGCCTTGATGTTACCGCGCGGGTCAAGCTCCAGGCCCAATTCGCCGGGCACCGTCTTCTCCGGTCCCAGGAAGCCCATGGCCAGCAGGATGAGGTCGGCGGGGAAGTACTTCTCCGATCCGGCCACCTCCTGCATGCGCCACTGGCCCGTCTCCGTCTTGGTCCACTCCACCTCGACGGTGTTCACGCCCTTGATGGTGCCATTCTCGCCCACGAACTCCTTGGTGGTGGTGCAGTACTGGCGCGGATCCTTGCCCCACTTCAGCTTCACCTCCTCGTGTCCGTAGTCGACGCGGAAGACCTTCGGCCACTGTGGCCAGGGGTTGTCCTCGGCGCGCTTCTGCGGCGGTTCTGGCAGGATCTCGAAGGTGGTGATGCTCTTGGCACCCTGACGCAGCGAGGTGGCAATGCAATCGCACCCAGTGTCTCCACCCCCGATGATGATCACATCCTTGCCGGCGGCAGAGATTATTTCCTGCTTTCCGCCCAGCTGCTTCTTCTGCTGCGCCTCCAGGAACTCCATGGCAAAGTGGATGCCCTTCAGGTCACGGTTGGCCAGAGGCAAGTCGCGAGGCCAAGTGGAGCCAGTGGTCAGAAGAACGGCATCATACCTGGAGATAATTCCAATATAGTCAGTAAAAGGTGTACAAAAGATCGGACCCAAAAGGGGATTAACCGGAAATCTATATAAGACAAAAAAATAATTAAAAACAAGAAAGGAAAGCTAACTTCGGGCGGAGCCGAAGTTGATATACCCTTGCAGAATACTCTGTAAATTATATTCTCCAAAATTATTCATATGATGCGTTCTTAATACACATAAAAAATCCCAACTTCCTAACTTTAAAAACACCAAAGTTATAGCATTTCCAATCGTTCAGTTATATGGCAGCTATAAGATATAGTCGGCCGATCCTTATGAACTTTGGTAGGTCGGATGGATTGGCCAAAAATAAAACCCATAGAAAATCCCAACTTCCTAACTTTACAAACACCAAAGTTATGGCATTTCCGATCAATCAGTTACATGGCAGCTATAAGATATAGTCGGCCGATCCTTATGAAATTTGGTAGGTCGGATTGATTGGCCAAATATAAAACCCATAGAAAATTCCAACTTCCTAACTTTACAAACACCAAAGTTATGGCATTTCCGATCAAACAGTTATATGGCAGCTATAAGATATAGTCCGCCGATCCTTATGAAATTTGGTA